GGCAGTGGGCTTTCCTGGGACCTGGCTGAGAGGGGCGCAGGTGGGTTACCCAGGGTTTGGATGCGTGCTGCATATATTGGGCTGTTTTTCTGCCCCTGCAGCACGCGAGCGTGGGCTCCCTGCCCTGCTTCCTCGACCCTAGGCCAGCAAAGGTCGCCACGATGCAGCCCACCTCACCCACGGGGTAGAGGCTGGGCCGGGCGGAGACAGAAGCCGCCCGTGGAAGAGTCCCCGTGGTCGACGAAGAACTGCACGAGGAGGAGGTGGCTCTCCCGAGGCCTGGGGAGAGGGGCACTCTGTCTCTCTGTCTGGAAACTTCTCAGCAATGCGCCGGACACAAGTGTGAGCCACCGTGAGTTTGTTCTGAGTTTCGATGGCGATCAAATAGACTGCCCAGAATTCCTACCACCTGCTTAAACTGCGAGTCCATTTAAAATTATTCAGGAGACGAGAGAGAGAGCGAGAGCGCGCACGGCGCCCATCTCGTAGTTCACTCTTCAAATGCCTGTGGAGCCGGTGCCGGGTGGGAGCCATAGCTGGGAACACAAGCCAGGTCTCCCACGTGGGTGTCAGGAACCCAGTCACTTGGGCAGTCCCTGCTGCTTCCCAGGGTCTGCATGGCAGGAAACCGGAGTCCACGGGTGCTCCTGGCTGAACACCTGCCCCTGCAAGTCCATTTTTGTTACAGCACCGCATGAATAAATGTTAAAGAAAACTCTTAAGCCTTCAATAATAACTTAAAATAATAAAGAAATAATTTCTTTCTATTCTGTTCTCTCAGAAGTAATGTGGCAGGGGGCCTGTGTTGTGGTAAAGCCGCTGCCTGCGATGCCAGCGTCCCATATGGGCAGTGGTTTGAGACCCGGCTGCTCCACTTCTGATCCAGCTCCCTGCTAATCTGCCCGGGAAAACCGCAGAAGATGCCCAAGTGCTTGGGCCCCTGCACCCACATGGGAGACCGGAAGAAACTCCTGGCTCCTGGCTTTGGCCTGGTCCAGCCCCAGCCATTGTGGCCATTTGGGGAGTGAACCAGTAGATGAGACATCTCTCTCTCTCTCTCTCTCTCTCTCTAACTCTAACTCTAACTTTCAAATAAATTGAAATTACAGCCATGAATTTTGACTTTATGGCATTTTACTATTACCCATTTTACTACTAGAAAGCTTATAATTGCTTAGGGTCAAACTTCATCAGCCTCATTTTTTTTCTTAAATATTTATTTATTTGTTTTAAAGGGAGAGAGAGAGAGGAGAGAGAGAGAGGGAGAGAGAGCAGAGAGAGAGAGAGGAGAGAAAGAGAGAGGAAGAGTCCAGGCTGGGCTAAGCAGAAGCCAGGAAGCTGGAACTCTGTCCTGGTCTCCTAGTGGGTGCAGGGGTCCCAGTGCTTGGGCCATTTTTAAGCTTTCGTAGGCACATGAGCAGGGAGCTGGATTGGGAGTGGGGCAGAAGCCCAGACTTGAACCAACTCTAAAATGGGATGCTGGTGTCACAGGTTAACCCACTGCACCCCAATGCCGGTCCCAATGCCTGGATGGGGACTGGAACCCAGGCCGTCTGGTGGGACGCCGATGTCTTAGCCACTTGGTTTAACGCCTGCTCCTTGCTCTTCCACTTCTTTGCAACGTGGTTCCTTCCCGCTGTGCTGAGCGTGCCTCACTCTCCGCAGCTTCAGGTGCACGGAGCTTCCAAGTGCGTGTGCACCAGGGTCTTACACACATCACCTGCTTTCTGTGACACTGAAACCTGGCACTGAGAAGCAGAGTCCTGCGTGCATTTTCTGACCTGATTCTCTGGGCCCTTCTTCTCTCCAGCCCGCAACACGGGCTTAGCTCACTGAGCTCCTTGGGCGAGCAGGCCGCTCTGGGGATGACCCTGTGGCCCTGACAGCTGTGGGCTGCCAGGGGACGACCCTGTCTTGAAAAGGAAGGAAGTTTCTCAAGATTTATTTTTTAGGGGGCCAGCACTGTGGTGTAATGGATAAAGACGCCGCCTGCAGTGCCGGCATCCCATATGGGCGCCGGTTTGAGTCCCAGCTGATCCACTTCTGATCTAGCTCTCTGCTGTGGCCTGGGAAAGCAGTGGAAGATGGCCCAAGTCCTTGGGCCCCTGCACTCACATGGGAGATGTGGAAGAAGCTCCTGGCTCCTGGCTTCGGATTGGTGCAGCTCCAGCCATTGAGGCCAATTGGGGAGTAAACCAGCAGATGGAAGACCTCTATAAAAAAGATTTTTTACTTGAAAGGCAGAGTGACGGAGCATGGGTACATCTGCTGGTTCATCCCCCAAATGGCCACACCAGGTGGGGCTGGGCCAGCTGAAGCCAGGAGCCTGGAACTCCATCCTGGTCTCCCACACGGGAGGGAGGGGCTCAAGTACCCGCTGTCACCTGCTGCCTCCAAGGTGTGCGTTAGCACGAAGCTGGACAGGAGGAGGAGACCAGGACTTGATCCCAGGCGCTCAGACACGGGATGCAGGCGTCACAAGCCCCGCCTGGAAGCACTCCCGCCGCTCGGCTGTGCTAGAACCGTGGACTTCAGGCCTGTGTGACCACAGCTCGGCCGCAGCCCTGATTCCCTCTCTGTGAGAAGATGGATTCCAAGCCCTTTCCACGCAGGGGAACGACTGCCCAAAGACAAGGCTTTCTCAGGGGAGCGCTGTCTTTCCTCCTCCAGGGTTTCTGTCCCGCGAAGCAGGCACCGCATTGTCCTGTCGCTGAAGGGTCAGGTGCCTGCTCAAGGTCACACGATGAGTCCCGGCGCACAGGCTCCTTCCTCCTCCTGGAGATGGAATTCGCCGCGAATTCGCTGTTGGGAAGTGAGCGGTTCTGTGCACTCGCAGAGCTGTGCAGCTGCTCCTCTGGTTCCAAAACGTCTGCATCACCCAAAAGGACACCCCGCTGCCTCTAGGGACCGGCCCCTCCCTGTCCCCTCTGCCCGGCGCCTGGCCACCCCTCTCTGCTCTCTGCCTCTGTTGGGGGCAGTCTCTGTACGTGCACTCCCACGAAACGTGGCCTCCTGTGCCTGCTTTCCTGCTCTGTGTCACTTTCCAAGGCACACCTGCCGCGCGGTGTCCTTTTGCAGCTGAGTAACACTCCACCCCGTGGGTGGCCCCCTTGGCGGTCATGGGTGCTGCGCAGAGTAGCCAGAGGTGACTTCTGCCGCTCTGTGAGCCGAGCTGGGCTGAACCAGCCAGGTGTGCACTTGCTGGGGTTCTGGCCGGCTTCCCTGCACCTGCCCGTGGTGATGCCGACAGTCCTGCCTGGGAATGAAGGGGTGGCAGGCAGCTTGCTACCTTCCCCTGGATATCAGCCCAAGCCTTCTTAAATTTTAAACTTACCTGGGCCGGCGCCGTGGCTCACTAGGCTAATCCTCCGCCTTGCGGCACCGGCACACGGGGTTCTAGTCCCGGTTGGGGCGCCGGATTCTGTCCTGGTTGCCCCTCTTCCAGGCCAGCTCTCTGCTGTGGCCCGGGAGTGCAGTGGAGGATGGCCCAAGTGCTTGGGCCCTGCACCCGCATGGGAGACCAGGAGAAGCACCTGGCTCCTGCCTTCAGATCAGCGCGGTGCGCTGGCCGCGGCAGCCATTGGAGGGTGAACCAACGGTAAAGGAAGACCTTTCTCTCTGTCTCTCTCTCTCTCACTGTCCACTCTGCCTGTCAAAAATAATTTTTTTTAAACTTACCTTTAGGGGCTGGTGTTGTGACATAGAGGGTTAAACTGCTGCCTGCAACGCCAGCATCCCATATGGGCACCACTTCGAGTTCCCACTGCTCCGACTCCAATGTAACTCCCTGCTATGGCCTGGGAAAGCAGTGGAAGATGGCCCAGATGCGTGGTCCCCTGCACCCACATGGGAGACCTGGATGAAGCTCCTGGCTTTGGCCTGGCCTAGCCCTGGCTGTGGCAGTCATTTGGGGAGCAAACCAGTGGATAGAAGATCCTCTCTCCCTCTCTCTCTCGTTCTCTCTTTGTAATTCTACCTTTCAAATAAAATAAAAAAAAAATCAATCTTTACGCTTATTTTAAAATCTTGGACCAACGCGAAGCAGCTACGCATTTTGTGGGTGCGAAGCAACGCTGCCACACTTGTGCGTGGCTGGAACCCTCAGTGCCAGGCCTCCAGCCTTATCGTACTCGTTTGGAGCCCCTGGCTGCTCGGTCCTGTTCTCTGCACAGAGCGCGCTGTGCAGAGGCCGGGGGTGTGCGGAGCTCCTGGACGCCTGCGGAGGCCTGGCCCCAGAGTTCTGCCGCGGCCTGGGGAAGGGCCCGCAGCCTCAGAGCCTCGCTGTTCGCCCCTAGCTGGAAGGTGTGGGGGTGCTTCGGGCGACGGGTCTCCAGCCGGGAGGTCAGTCTGCTCCCTGGAGAAGCCTCAGGCGCTGTCCGCCCTTCCTCCGGCTTCCTTAGGGCGCAGCCGGGCGTGTGCGGGCTGCACGCACTGGCGGACGAGGGTGGGATTTTCACCGTGTGCCGTGCACGCACGCCCGGCCGCTTCCTCCCCCGCACCGCGGCCTGGTTGCTAGGGCGCAGGTTGGGCCAGCGGCTGCCGGGGGTCCCGGGGGAGGGAGCCTCTAGGGGTGCAGGGCGAGCAGGGGCAGTGTCCACTCGGGCCTGACGGCCGAGACTCCGTGACCCGTGGCTCGCAGCGGGTCCTGCGCCGCGTTTGGGGGGCGGGGAGGGGGCGCTGCAGCCCCGGCCCTGCCGCGCCCGCGCCGCTGCGTTCTCGTTTCTGTGCCAGCTTCGACCCCAGCTCTGGGGGAGAGAAAGTGGCCGTGAGGGCGCAGAGCCATCTTGGGGTGCGCGCGTGTGCGCGTTCGCACACTGACGTCTCCTGGGCTCCGGCTGCGGCCGCTCGCTGCACGGTGGACGATGCCTGTCGCTGTCTCTGCGCCTGGAGAAAACTAATGAATCATTTCTGGCAGGATCCAGGCGGGCAGGCGAGCCAATGGCGAGCGCCGCCGGCCAGGCCCCGCCCCCGCCCCGCCCCCGCCCCGCCCCCGTTTGTAATCCGACTCCGAGGCCGCCGCAGTCGTCTGCGCGCTGAGCCCCGGCGCCTCGGCTCCGCCGGCTTCGGAGGTAGGCTGAGGCGGACGTTTTTCTCCTCAAAATAGCTTCCCGCTTCCCCGAGCCTCCCGGCGCGCCGCTGCGGCGGCGGGGGTCGCCCGCCCCCTGCTGCTTCGAGTGGCGGGAGGCTGCCCTTGGGCGCGCGGTCTGGGCTGCGGCCGGTGGCCCGGATGCGGGGACCTGGGCGCGGGGCCGGGCGCCCGCGGCTGCGGGCCGGGCCGGGCCGGGCCGGGCGGCCGCCTTCTCTCCCGCGCACCCCCCGGCTTTGCAGAGCAGCCCCGCTGGGCACCGCTGGCGGCTCCCGGCCGGAGCTGCCCAGGCCCCGGCTTCCCGGGCTGGGAGTGGGGGGAGGGATGCGGGGACGCGCGGAGGTGCGGGAGCCGAGGGCTCGGCCCCGCCGGGCAGCGGGAGGCACACGCCCCACAGCCCCACCTGAAGGCGATGTGTGTCCAGGCGGCCGCCGGCGTGGGCGTGCGCGGCGCGCGTGTGCCGGCCATCACGCAGGCTGCCTCCGGGGCAGCTCCCTCCGTCCCGGCTGTCTCCTGGGTGATGAGTTTCTGTGGGAGACCGCCGGGGGCTCCGGCTGCGTGGACTGGGGCGGGTGGGGCGCCGGCGCACAGGGAGGCCCCCGGAGGAGCGGACTTGCTGCTGTCCCGTGGTCTGGGGGAGGCTGAGAGGGCGGAGGGAGGAAGAGGAGGCATTTCCCGCTGAGCCGGGGCTCCCTGCGGGTCTGGAGAGTATTGGGGCGATTGGGAGCCAGGACCCCGCGTCCAGGCTCCACGCTCCCCTCACCTCCCAGAGGTGAAGCCACCTCCCCAGGGCAGGTGGACGTGGGCAGAGGAGCCCCGCGGGAGAGGACACGGAGCTCGGGCCAGGACCCGAGGGACTTGCCGTGTCTGGGCTCTTGGTCCTGGTGCAGGGGCCGGGAGCAGCGTCCTCCTCCATGGTGCCTCGCGCTGAGCCGGGGGCGGGCGAGGTCAGAGGGCACGGGCCTCTCACACTGACCTAGTGCCCACTGCTCCCCAGAGGCGCCTTGCTGGACGCCCCGGAAATGCCTGTGTCTCCTTGGCAATCGAGCGCTGTTTGTGTCCTCACGGCCTGAGCTCCTGGCTCCAGGGGGCAGCCCTGGGTGCAGGGACCGGAGGGCCGCTTACAGCCCCTCTCCCTGGGGGTGACCGGGCCTGCGACTCCGTCATCAGGGTACGTCAGGGAAGGGACTGGCGGCTGTCACTTGCTCCCCCGACCCCTGCCGCCCCCCGGGAAGAAGACAAGTGGGTCAGGCGTGGGGGGCTGGGGGGCCTCCCCTGAGTGTTTAGGAAGCTGCCCCAGGCAGGCTGCGTGCAGATGGCAGCGAAGGCTGGGCTCGCAGGAGGAGGAGCAGCCGTGCCGCCGTCTTCCCGCCTGCAGCTCAGCTCTGTTTGCTCTGAGCTTAGCAACTGCAGGGCGTGGGCAGAGGCCCAGCTGGAGACATTTCGCCTCTCGCCCTGCACGTTTGGACCCGAGGCTGAGGTTCTGCTGGAGCCAGGTGCTTGCACAGGGGCTGGTGACCGCTGGTCTCTGTGCGGCAGCCCCAGCGTGGGTTATGGCTGCACCCTGGGCCCCTCTGCACTTGTCTGGGGGGGAGGGCGAGGGTCTGCACTTCCCCGGTGCCCCGGGGCTGCTGCCGCTGCTGTGGGGACCCCTGGGAGCTGCCTGCCACTTCCTCTGTGCCCAGCCGTCTCCTTGTGGTGCCGCGTGAGCTGTGGTTTCCTCAGTTTCCTAGGCATTTCCCACATCTGCGGGGATGTTTGGGATCTGGGAACCCAGCGGAGACCCCTGGTGTGCCAGCCTGTGCGGACCAGGGAGTGGCCACGCCAGCGCCTGGAGTCTCTGTGTCCTCCCCGGCCCCCGGAGCTGTGGTTCCCGCAGAGCCTGCTCCCCGGGTTCTCCTCTGCCCCGTGTCCGATCACCTTGCTCTGGTGCCGGCTGCCCGCTCTGGGCCCCACCTGCAGGCACCTGCTGCCCTGTCCCTGGGGCACTGGGCTGGGTTTGGGGAACCCCAGCACCCCCATCGCTGGCCGCCCCTTTCTCCCACGCTCCTCTCCCCTGTCCCTTCCTCTCCTCTCCTCCCTTCTGCTTCAGGGGCTGTCCCCTTGCATTCCCCCCACGGCTCCCCGGCCCCACTCGCCCTGTGGTGCCCCGGGGCTGTGTGGGAGCCTGGTGGGCTCCCTCACCTCCCACGTGGTCCTGTGCCCTCTAGCGGCCCCGGTTGCTGTGTGTTTCTGGGTGGTTGTTGCTGACTGTGCTGAGCACTCGTGTGTTACACACCTGCTCCCCACAAGGTGCCTGGCGTCCCCAGAGCCCTGCCACACAAGCTGCGGGGGGAGCCAGGAGCCTGGCTGGCGAGGACCCAGGGGCTGCGGTCCGCGGAGGGGATGTGTCAGGTCGTTCGAGCAGAGCTCTCTGGTTTGCCCTCCGGGTGGTCGTACGGACAGTGTGCAGGGGTCCTGCTCCCTGCTTTCTCGCCCACACTGGGCATTGTCCAGCTCCTAATGTTTGCTGCAGTCCCATCAGCCTTGGTGGACCTTGTTCCTCCAGCACCCCTCGGGCTGGGGGCTGGGGGCTGGGGAAGCTGAAAGAAGCTGCAGTTCCAGACAAGGGGCCTGGGCGGCTTCCCGCGGCAGGGCTGGCCCTCCTTAGGCACGGCTGGCGTGGTGCACGTTGGTCTCTCTCTGGGCACGCGGCTTCCCGCAGCAGGGCTGGCCCTCCTTAGGCACGGCTGGCGTGGTGCACGCTGGGTGTCTCTCTGGGCACGCGGCTTCCCGCGGCTGGGCTGGCCCTGCTTAGGCACGGCTGGCGTGGTGCACGTTGGTCTCTCTCTGGGCATGCGGCTTCCCGCGGCTGGGCTGGCCCCGCTTAGGCACGGCTGGCGTGGTGCACGTTGGTCTCTCTCTGGGCACGCGGCTTCCCGCGGCAGGGCTGGCCCTGCTTAGGCACGGCTGGCGTGGTGCACGTTGGTCTCTCTGGGCACGCGGCTTCCCGCAGCAGGGCTGGCCCTGCTTAGGCACGGCTGGCGTGGTGCATGTTGGGTGTCTCTGGGCACACAGCTCGGCCAGCGTGCTGTGGCTAGGCCTGGACCGACCTTGGCCTCAGAGACAGACACCATGAGACCGGATGTGGTTCTGGGAGTGTCTGAGGGTCCACGTGGCCCAGCTCCAGTGATCAAGAGTCACATGTGACCTCTGATTTTTGTTTTGAAGATTTATGTGTTTGAGAGAGAGAGAGAGAGAGAGAGATGCCTTCCATCTGGTTCAGTCGTCAAATGGCCACAATGGCCAGGGCTGGGCTAGGAGAAAACCAGGAGCCTGGAACTCCGTCCCGGTCTCCCACGTGGTGCAGGGCCCAAGCGCTTGGGCATCTTCTGCTGCTTTCCCAGGCCACAGCAGAGAGCTGGATCGGAACTGGATGAGCCAGGACTGGAACCGGCGCTCTGGCCCCTGCTTCGAGCCCCTGATGCCAGCGGCACAGGCCCCCCCCGCTCTGGATGGCGTGACTGCAAGCAGGGGTGGCCCAGGCTTGGGACGGCGTCTGCAGAAGCTGCCTCATAGAGTGTGTCCCCCACCCGTTCTCCTGGCCTGTTGCCCCTTGGAAGGCCCCGGGCCCCACAGGCTGGGTTTGGGGGCAGTGCCGCTCTGTCCAGCTCCATGGGCGCGCAGAGGGGCTGCCCCCACGGCCCATGCAAGTCTGACCGCTGTCTCCTGGGGAGCACAGCTCAGGCAGGTGCTTTTGAAATGTGCATTTCCTGTCTGAGGAGCCCAGCTTCCTGAGCTGACTGGAGCAGGCTGGCCAGCGGGGAGGAGGGGCTTCTGCATGGGACACCTGTGTTCCCGCGACCCCCGGGCAGGCAGGCTTGGAACGGGTGGCTCTGACAGCCTTTGTCTCAGCCCTGCTTGGCGGCCTCCACGGTCCACGCTCCAGGTTGTGGGGGAGCCCAGCCCTGCCCTGTGTGGCCTGTAGCCCTCGGGACATTTTTGCAGGCTGGGGGCCTGGGCCGGGCTCTTCCCTCTTGGCCTCTCGAGTGCTGGAGGCGTCACGGGGTGGGAGGGATGGAGGAAGAGCAGGCAGAGGAGCACAGGGAGGGCCTGGGGCCGGCCCCGCTGCTCTCTGGCGAGGAGCGTGTCCAGGGCACGAGAGGTGTGATCCGGCTGCTCTCCCAGGGAGGGGTCTGGGGCCCGCAGATCTGGAAATGACAAATGGGGCAACATGGCCTCCTTGCCTCTAAACAAATGCGTCAGAGTGGTCTCTGTGTTCCAAGGTGGGGGCGTTGAGGCCCCCAGCCAGTCCCCAAAGTGCTGGTCGCGCAGGCGTCCTGTCCCGGGCGTGTGCGCCCGTGAGCACCAATTCCAGGAGAGGCGCTCTGCCGTGCGCCCCGCCAGCCGGCCTCCGCCACCCCGTCCTGCCGCGTCGCCCCGTCTCATGCGTCTCTTTGCAGGGCACACATTCTCCTTCCTAGAGACGGTTATGCAGGTTAAAAATAAATGCGGAGCCACGTGACTGGCATAAATGAACACTTCCTGTCCGCCTAGGGGGAGTCGCCCTAAGGCCGGGGACAGAGGCTGCAGTAGGGGCTCCGCGTGTGTCCCCTGGGGACACCAGGGCGCCCGCCCAGGGAAGGAAAGGTGGGCCCAGTTCTCCGTCGTGGATGGGCAGGGGCCGTCAGTGAGGGCGGCGTGGGTGCAGGCGAGAGGCTGCACCTGCAGTCGGGCGGAGAGAGGGTGACCCAGCTCTCCTGAGAAGGTGGAGGTCCCTCTAGGGGGGTCACGGCCCTTGTGACCTGAGGACTGACCCCGGGTCACCTTGCAAATGTTCCGTGGCCTCCCTTGGCAGAGACAAGGAAGGACTGACCGCCCCCAGCCACCCAGGCCTGCCTGCGGGGCCCTGTTCCTCAGGCTGTCTCTGTGTGGTAGACAGGAGGTGGTCAGAGTGCGAGCAGGAGTCACAGACGGTCAGCGCCTCCCTGGATGTCCTCCAGG